ATAATAATAGTAATAATAGTAATAATAAAAACAGTGAACGCTCTACAAGTCAACCGTAACACACAAACAATAACTCACTCGCTTGTTGTGTATAATTACACAGAACGGTCACGTTAAAGTCACCAAAAATGCATGATTATGGGTTAAATTAATATAAGCCCCATAAATTAAAAAAATATATACATACATGTTTTATAGAGATACACACGGGATACATATAGCCAAGTCGCTTCTGTTTTTCTAGTGAACATATGTCTAAACAGTTTATTTGTTGTTGTAGTAGTTGTTGTTGTTGTTGTTGCTGTTGTTGCTCTCGTTAATTGTCTTCTTGTTCGTTGATGTACACATCTTTCTAGCTCTCCACTTTACCGGTGTCTGTAGTGCAGTGGTTAGGCCACCGCTGGCGCACGCAGAAGACCCGAGTTCGATTCTCGCTTCGGGAGGCTTTTTAATCGAGTATCTCGGTGTTTCTTCTTGGACTTTGTATCTTATCCCTCCCAGCCGGGGTTGGCCCTGACAGGCAAGGTCGAGACCCGCCTCCTAAATGATCTAAATTGTGTCGATGGGGGGCATAAAACACCTACATCAAAAATATATTTTTTAAAAGGATATTTTAAAAATAGATCTAGATATCATTTTTTTAAAAACCCGTTCCACTTTTTACCTGAAGTGTGAGAAAAAAATGATCGAACAATAACCATTAAAAGAAAAAAAGAGAAGAGGAAAAAAAGATCACCAGAAACCCGCTTTTCTCTTCCTGCGCCTTAACACAATTTGGGGGTGCGTTGTGTATGATCCAGACATGACAACATTCTATACAAATGGCTTTTACTTATATGTACATGTAGTGGGAACATTGTGGATGGCGGGTGGCTCTAGAATTTAGTGACGTCAGGCTGTGTCTACTTACAGTACCCTTACCCTTACTGCTGTGTTCTCTTGTGTGTCTTGTTGTGTGTAGTCTTCACAGGATATACTATTGTACCGATAAGTTTGTGTGTTGTCTACTTCATGGTGACATAAAAATAAACACACAAAGAACAACAAACAACCATTTACCGCCGACAAAGAACAACAAACAACCATTTACCGCCGACAAAGAACAACAAACAAACAAATACAGAAAAGGAACGACAAAGAACAACAGACAAACAAACCTTTACAGATAAAGAAGAACAAACAAACATTTACAGACAAAGAGCAACAAAGAACAATAGACAAACAAAGAAAGAATAAACAAATAAAGAACAGCAGACAAAGAAAGGACAATCAAACAAATACAGAACAATCAAACAAACAAAGAACAATAAAGAAACAAATAGACAAATAAACCAAGAACAATACACAAACAAATGACCCACGCGGTGTGTCGGTATTATTTGGGAGCACACCCACGAAGAAAAGGACTGCGGGTGGTTGGAGGGTGCCTCTATCTGATATAATACCCTACTTCCTTACTGCCCCACTTTTTTGTTTTCCATCTGTGTGTCTTGCTTTTTCTCCACCTAAATGGCCACTATTATGCCCCAATTTTTCTTTTTTCTCAAACAAATAATGGACCACTGTCCTTCCAAAACACGGCTGAGGGTATTTTTAGACTCCCTTTGGAAGTTCTTCATTTTTCTCTGAAAAGACATATTGGGTGGTTGGCAGGTAGTCTTGTGTGGTTTGCTCCTTCTTTCATATCAAACATCAATCTTCATATTTCATGTGTGTGTGTGTGTGTCCTGTTATTTGTATGCTGTTCTCTGATAATACCTCTCATCTCCCGTAATAATGTGATTTATTTGTGTTGTAAGAGCTGTAAAACCGTTACTAAAACAAAAACAAAAGAGAAAAAAAAGAGACAGAAAAGACCCGGTTCATCACCGGCGTACAAACATAAAAACACAAACGTGAACACACACACACACACACACACACACACACACACACACACACACACACACACATCAGACATAGATAAAGTAGCTATTACATTGGGTCGTTATGTTTCCTCTTTCACTTGATAGGGGGTTGGAGGCGGCTTCTGGTAGGTTCTTCTTCTCTTTCCCTCTTTTCTCTCTGTCTGTCTGTCTGTCTGTCTGTCTGTTTTACTTTTTCCCCCTGCACTGAATTATCATTATTCTGTATTGATGAGCTTCTCTTTACTCACACTCACACTCAGTGGGTGGTTGGCGGGTTCTCTGATGTAGTTTGCTCCTTCTTTCCTATCGAACATCTATCGTCCTTATCTCTCCTCATTCTTTTTTGGCGTTTGTTTCTCTCTTGTAACACCCCGAAACGTGACACTTGTATGGCCCAACTGTGTTGCACTTGTCCTAAAACTGTTCATAAAGACAAAAACACAACACAACGTTGTAGATAAGACATGTATTTCACATGAGCATATGCACATGTACATAT